GCAGAACAAAGCATAGATAATTGTGAAAGGTGAATAAGATGAAATAATAACATAAAGGTAGTTCTAGAAACATTAGTGGAGAAAGTCAATAATAAGATTAATGCAACATTAGAGCAAATACTAGAAAACAGAACAACAAAAGAATAGAAAAAAGAAGAGAGAGGTCTAATCGAACTTAAACAAGTAGAAAAACTAGAAATAGAATTAATCAAGAAACAAAAATTTGATAGTAAAGTTACAAATTACTTAATAGAAGCTCTAACAAAAAACAAGAGAAGAAACAAAAACAAATATACTCTTTATACAGATAGTGTATTATATAAAGAAGAAAAGAAAAATAATATAGAAAAGATGAGCATTGGTTGGATGCAGGTTAGTAACAGAGAAGACTGGCCAGAAGAAAAAATGGCATTAGGACTTAAAGATTGGCTCTCAGCAACAATAGCAGAATTAGTAGCAATATGGTTAACAATCCTAATTATATCAAAAAAAAGTACATAGAAGTGCATACAGATAGCTTTACAGCATTAAGGCATATTAACAGAGCAATTCAAGAGATAGAAGATGACAAAGTTTTGAAAAAGCAATATGTAATGTGAATAATAAATATTGTTGGTTTACTTAAAAGCAAGAACAATAGAATAGAACTAGTTAAGATTAAAAGTCATAGTAATAACAAGTAGAACAACAGAGCAGATTTACTTGCAAAAAAAGAAGCAACATATGGAAGGATAATAGTTATAGAGAAGATCAAGTGTAATACAATAGAGTACTATTTAGAATAGAAAAATAGAAAAGTTGATATACTAGCAAGACTTCTATGTAAAATAGTCATGAATGTTAGAATTGGAGCTAGTTGAAAAGAAACAAATCCAATTCAAGCACTAGAGTCAGAAACTGAAAACACTTAATATAATTGGTCAAGCTTTTAAAAAGAAATGAATAGAACAAGGGGTGTATATTGTACAACAAGAAAACTCAGTACAAGAAGAGCAACAGTGATCAAATGTATAATAGATAGCCTACTAACACTAGAAGAACTAAATAAAAGAAAGCCAGAAATATACATAATGACTAACTACCAAGTATGTCAAAAGGTAAAAAGGAAACCCAAGCATACTTAGCAAGCTGCATTAAACAAAGAAGCTTGTGGAAAAGAATTCAAAAGATAGCAATAGCAGCAGCTTGGAATAGCTTGAAAAAAAATGAAAAGGTTAGAATCCTGCCTCTAGTGCTATATGAGACATTTTTTGGAAAGACAGAAGCAGAAGAAATTACAAACAAAATAGCTTTGATAAAAGGATTAATAACAAATGAAGTTGGAAAAAAGATTAGTCAGATTCTAGATAGACAGGCAATACAGAAATGCATAGATATAGTAACAAGAACAGTATAAAATATATTTTATGACCAAGTATGAAGAGTTTGATGTAGAAAAATACAAGAATAGGAAAAAAAGATCAATATAACAGGCAGAATGGAAAAAGATGCTCAAATCAAAAGAAGATTAGAAAAGAAAACAAAGAAGAATAAGATAACAAAGGAGAAAGAAAAGGAAAAGAAAGTAGAAAAAATAAACTAAATGAAGAAAGAAGCTTGGAAGTCAATCGATATGCTTGTCACAGAAGAGGAAAGACCTTTCTGGTATAGCTTTAAGTAGTTAGACAAGCAGTCTATCTTTAATTAAGATAGTGTAGCAGGTTGCATTTAGGTGCCAATAGAGTAACCGAGTGATACTAGACTTGAGTATTGGAAAATTCTATATAATTATAGATATATATAGTTTCAAGAATCTTAATAAAGTACTAGCATAACTGCTTAAGATGTAAAAAAAAAATATATATATATAACAAATTATGAAATTTAAAATAAAATCAAATACTATACTAAGTCTAACAAGAGTACTAAAAGTTAGTATGACTTGAACCAAGATATAATTTATTGACTTGCTGAAGTCTTATTAGAAGAAAACATCTAGACTATAGAGAAAGTCATAGAAGAACAAAACTATGATAGATATAGTCATGAATAAACCTCTGATGAAATTATCATCTTACTTCAAACAGAACAAGTAAACCTTACTAAAAAAGAAAAAACCATCTTACAACAGATCTTAGATAAATCTTTTAATACTGCTCATCTGGACTTTGATATTTGAAAAGCAGTAGAAAACTTAAGAAAAAATTTTGAAAAAAAGTAGCTCTTTGTCATAAATACCTTTTTGCTAAACAATATGCAGAATTAGAAGAATACCAAGAGTATTGTAATGAATGCTACTAAGAGTTAAATGAGTTAATTCTTGCTGAAGAAACTATTTCAGAAAAAGAAAACATTATAAAAGTAATAAAGTTACTAGAAAAAACTGTTATAGAACCTATAGAAATAAGTAAAAACACTATTTCTAAAAAAAGGAAGGATGGAAAAGAAAATAAAAAAGACCAAATTATTGCTAGATTGGAAGCTAGAATTCAACATCTAGAGAACAAATTTGAAAAGATGTTAGAATTTTTCCAAAAGCAAATAACTCATTACTAAAAATAAGTAAATTATTACTTCTGTTTAGTCTTTGCATCTTAAAATTTTTAAATTATTTTAGACAAGATTAAAAACTATTTAACTTAGAAGATTTAAAAGATTCAGAAGATCCAAAAGATCCAAAAGACCTAAAAGACTTAGAAGAAATAGAAGACAAAGAAATTAAAGAATTATCACTTGAGAAAGAATTATCAACAGAAAAAAAAGCTTTGCAACAGGCTTTGCAAAGAAATGCATTAAAAGAAAATCATATATATATAATAGATACTCTAATACTATATGAGGAATATGTCTTAGAGAAAACAAATACTGTAAATGTAGAACCACTTACTAAAGAATAAGAACAATTGTTCAAAAATTTATTAGAAGAATTTGCTAATTTATTTGTCAAAGATATTACAGAACAGATAAAGTTAAACATTATATCTATACAAAAGATGTATCACCTATTAAACTATGCACTTACAATATGTTATTTAATAAACAAAACTTTATCAAAAAAGAAATTGAATGAATACTTGAAAGCATTATAATTTAACTATTAAAAAGCCCTTGGGCAACATCTGTTGTCCTAGTATAAAAGAAGAATAGAAAGTTAAGATTTTGTGTAGATTACAGAAGACTTAACAATGTTATTAAAAAGGATGTCTATCCCTTATTAAAAATATAAAAAATATTAAATGCATTATTAGAATTACAATGGTTTTCAACTTTAGACTTAGCTAATAGTTACTGACAAGTTATAATGAATTCTAAAGACAAAAAAAAGACTGCATTTATCACAAAATATAGCACTTATGAATTTAATATAATGCCATTTAGATTATGCAATGCATTAGCAACATTTCAATGACTCATAAACAGAATATATAAAGGAATTGTATAGAAATTTGTTGTTGTCTATCTTAATAACACTAATGTATACTTAAAAACATTTGATAATCATTTGAAACATTTAAGAATAATGTTTCAAAGGATTAGAGAAGCTAAATTAAAACTCAACTTTGACAAGTGTAACTTTTGGATGAAATCTTTATCCTTCTTAGAACATACTATTAGTTCAAAAAGAATAGCTCCAAACTCTGCAAAAAGTAATGCTATACAAAAGATTTAACCTTCTAAAAACACTACTAAATTAAGATCTTTTTTTGAATTAGCTAAATACTATAGACAATTTATTTAAAACTTTTTAGTAATAGCCCAACCTCTTAACAAACTCTTACATAAAGATGAACCTTATCATTAGGAAAATAAACAACAACAAGCCTTTAAATTACTTAAAGAAAAGCTTGTTACTGCATCTATACTAGCTTATTCTAATTTTAGCAAGAGATTTATACTTGTTACAAATGCTTTATACTATGGCTTTGGAGCCACATTAAGCCAAAAAGATAGAGATGATAGAAAACATCCTATTGCTTATGCTAATAAAAGTTTGTTATCCTAAAAGCAAAATTATTTTGTTACAGAATTAGAATGTGCTGCAATAGTATGGATTATTAAACATTTTTATAGTTATTTAGAAGCTACAGAATTTACTTTAATAACTGATTACTTAGCATTAAAATAGCTTAAAACTGTAAAACCCAAAGGATGTATCAGATGCTAGATTTTAAAACTTCAACCTTACTACTTTATTATTATTCATAAACTGAGTAGAATTCACTCTAATATGGATGCTCTCTTAAAACTTTAACATAAAATTTTTTTTTTAAATAATGAACTTAGATTAATATTACAATTTATTTAATTATTTAAATTCTAATACTATATCTTCAGACTTTACTACTTATTAATGAAATAACTTACTAATCAGACTAAATATTTTATAATTCAAAATAGACTTTTGTATAAAAAGAACAAGAAATCCATAGAATTGATATACATTCTAAATACAGTAAAGTTGATGTATTACAAATCACCTAATTGTCTTGTAATTAATCTTTGAATATTAAACTTATCTTATATTAATGTTAATATTTCTATATTATAATAATTTATAGGGGTTTTGCATGAAAGGTGTCTTGCTTCTATAATAGGAATAAATTTACTGCTGTATTACTAGAAAAAAAAAATAGTAAATCTAAAATTTTTTTCCAGTTTTTTATTTAAATAAAATCTAGTAAGTTTCATTATATTAGCAGCAATTTCAATTTTTTGATTTTAAACTTTTATTTATCTAAATCTTAAACTTTAATATTAAATAATGTTGTTCTTAATTTATATCTATCAATTAGTTATAACTAAATAGATTTATTTGTAAAACTTAAATTATAGTAAAAAAAAAAAAAAATAAAGAATTGTATTTTATAAGAAATATCATTATATAGTAACTAGTATTACTTTATAAAACAATGATATTCAATGATAAGATGACAATTATTTAATGTAAAACATTCATAAAGATTTATTTTGCCAACCTTTTTTTTTTAAAAAAAAAAAAAAAAGATACAATCTTGAATTAGTCTTCTATTTATGATGAAAGTTATAATAATAATAAAAAATCTAAAAATCCTTTGGAATCAAAAATCTTTTTAGAACCAAAAACCTCATTAGAGCCAGAGATTTTTCTAAAACTAGAAAATCTTCTTGAACAAGAAACTTTATTAGAACAAGAAACTCCATTAGAACAAGAAACTTCATTAGAACAAAAAAGCTTGTTAGACTCTGAAACTTATTACAACTTGAAAATTTGCTTTTTCAACAAGATTAGATCTACATATCTCTTAAATTTTTTAAATATATTGCTAAACAATATGCCAAGACAAAGGAGTTTAAAATCATACTTTGCAAAGACAATAATCACAGTGATGGTATACATTATATGCAACTTTTTACCTGTGATCAATATGGTAAATTTAAGTCTAAGCCCAAAGACCCTAATAAAAAAAGAAGAAATACAGAGTCAAAAAAATGTAACTGTCTCTGGTCAATTCATTTTAACCTTAACAGAGAAGATGATAAATATTACATTTCACAGGTTGATCTTAATTATAACTATTCATTGATTCTGATCCAGTTTATATATATGTCACCTGCTAGTCATAAATACTAATAGATATTAAAGAAGAAATTCTGCTTTCAAAGAGAGCAGGTATTTTAACTTCACAAATTCAGTTATTGCTTATTATAAAATATAGATTAGTTGCAAAAAAGTAGTTGATCTGAGATATATACAATTTGATTAGTAGTGACTATATGTTATACAGTAAATTTAAAACTCATGATTTTCTTCATCTCTTCTAGCAAAAATGCAGGATTGATTCTGAGTTTTCTTTTGAATTTGAGTTAAACCATAATAACTGCCTGAAGCATATTATTTAAGCATATTTATTGCAAAAACAGCAATATATACACTTTTATGACAAAATTATATATGATAATACATATAAGTATAATTATTTTTCAATGTTTTTTGAAGTATTTATAGGTGTTACAAACAATGATCTCTCTTACTGTGCTGCTGGTGCATTACTCTGAAATGAAAACTTGTTAAAGTTTTAAATAGCTTTTTGAGTCTTTTCTTTGTATTTTTGGAACTGCACCAAGTATGATCCTTACAAACAATGATCTTCTAGTAGCTAATGCTATCTGTTTTGTTCTATTTAATAAGCATAGCACTAAACATAATCTTTGCATATAGCATATGCTTAAAAACATTAGATCTAATATAACAACTAAACTTGGAACAAAATATAGTGAGTTTTATGCAGACCTTATTAAATGCCTTAATCATTACTTTGATCAAAATAAATTTAAAGAATTATAGAATAATATTATGATAAATAATAATGATTCTAAAGCAAAATCATGTTTAGAAATTCTTAATCATTAGCATGAGCGATGGGCACCAGTATATTTTAAAGACTATTTCTTTGTTAATTTATTATTAGCACAAAGAGAAAAATCTATGAATAAATTGTTAAAAGGTTTTTTTAACAGTAAAACTACACTTACAGACTTTCTAATAGCTTTTGAATAAGCACTTGATATTTGTAAAGAGGCTGAGCACTTTTCTTTATACAAAGAGCTTGTTTATTTTTTTCATTCAATTTTCTAAAATCTGATTTAAAATCAAGCTTTCAGTTGTTTAACAAAATATGTATAAAAGAAATTTTTAGCAGAATGAAATACAAAGAATGCATATATATATAAGGAATTAACTAGTAGTAATAAGTTATGCTGTTTTAAATTGTTTTATTATAAAAGACCTAATGCTATATGTTGGGTATGTTATGATAGCTATAAATTTGCATGCAGCTGTCATAACCTTGAGTTTGCTGAAATAGTTTGTTGCTATTTTCTTGCAGTTGCAGTTCATCTTTCTCTTTTTTAACTCAATCCAATTTACTTTTCAAAGCATTGGCAAAAGGACCCATCTGAGCTTGAATTTGCTAAAGATTATATTAACTTTTATAGTCACTCACAATTTTAAGAATTGGAAACTTAAACATTATATGAACCATCTAATAAAGGCACTGCCTATCTTTAATATATGTGTATTCATTGATTATTAAAAGAAATTACAAGCAGAATTGCAACAGACTTCACTAAATATATAGATTTTATGTTATATCTCAAGAAGTACTTAGAGACATTATATGATATTACTAATAATATTTTTAATTTGATCCATATATTATAATCTTATAAGAATATATTAGAGTTTTCGGAATGTTTAATAATTAACAATCCTATTAAGACTAAGGCTGTTGAATAGCCAAAAAAAGAAAGAATTAAGAGTAAACAAGAATATACATCTGTAGTTACTAAGAAAAGTAAAAGAGGCTGACTACAGACAAATCTTAAAAAATATACAACTTAAAATCAAAATGAGAATATTGTACTAAGACAGTAAAAACATATTCATAATAACAATATATAAGGTAAGCTTGATATTAGTTTGTAGTATTTTTATTTTATTAAAAGTTATATCTAACTTATATAATTGATTTTTAATTACTTTTTTATAAGTACCTTATATATGTTTATTTTTTAAAATATGCATTCTTTATAATTTGTACATTATATATACATAACTTCTAAATAAAAACACTTATAACAAATATGATTAAGTTTTTGAAAAGTATTAAGTTGGTAGTATCACATCTAGCATTTATTTAGTTAAAATAAATATTTAAATAAGATTAAACATATAGTAAGTTTTATTTAAGTAGCTTATTAACTTTATATATATGTCAATTTAGTATATATAAAAAGCATTTACTATTAAGTTAAACAATATTATTTATAATTTTTTAGAAGAAAAATTCAATATTGCATTGAAGATAACACAAAGAAAGTGAAGTGCCTAACATCATAGCATAATTATTAGAGAATTTCAAAAATAGGTATATAAAAGTATGAATATTAATTATTTCATAAAAAAATTATAATTAAGTATGTCTTAGTATTTTATTCTGCATAATTAGATAGCAGATAAAAAATTATATTACAGTGTATTAGCAAAATTAAGCAAACAATTAGTCATCAGATCCAATTATTTGGTTCTCAAATTTAGATTTTGGTTATCAAATTATATATTAATCAATCAATATTAAACTTTGAAAAAGTTTTTTTGGTCTTCTAATCTGTACTAATAATGAGTTTAACCTATTTTCTCTATAGGCTAACCTATTTTCTTATCTTAATGCATCTTATTAGATATAGAAATTTATTAAAATGACATATCATAACTTGGTGAATGTTGATTATTTCAGTAAAATATATTTTTACATACATATTAGTAGTTAAAATTTTTAAATTTTGGGACATTTTGCAAATGCATCATAATTAATTATATAAGGATATATGAACTATTTAATATTGTTTTATTTAAAAGATTATTAGTTTCTAAGAAAAACATTTTTTATTTTTTGAATATATTCTCTAACTTATTTATATAATTTTGTAATAGGCTCGATATTTAAATTATCTCAAAACAGAGATAAATAAGTATTTGATAGTACTTTAAATATGCTAATAATAGAACTTTTCACAAGTTAGAAAATGAATTTAAAGTAAAATATATTGACTTGATAGTAATAATGTTTTACAAGATCAATTCTTTAGTAAGTTTACAATCTTATATCTTAGATTTGATAATATCTAATAATGAAAATGTTTTAAAAACACTATAGATTTATGACTTATATTGTACCAAAATATTAACTGAAATTCTTATTTTTTATAATTTTACTAGCTATTTTTTTCTGTAAAAATATCATTTATAAATCCATTTAGCTCTGCAATTTAAGTTTATCTTTATACAGATTAAACTTTTAAGGATTAATTATGATGTTATGATGAATTAAATTAATAAAATATGTCTGTTTTTATATCAAGACTCAATATAGCATATATAAATCCACTTAATTAGTTAATAATCCTTATAGTAACACCTATATCAATACAATTAATCCTATAACAAACCTCTAACAAAGATGATTAAATTTGCTAAAAACATTTAAAAACAAACTTAAAAATTTATTACTTGCTATTTGTAAAAGTAAAATTGTAAATAAACAGCTAATATAACTTTAAAAAAACTTTAGTATTATGATTTATCATATTTGAAACAAGTTCATTTTTCTTACAACTTTAATTAAGTTTAGTTTCAAACTTTAATATAAACTATTTAATTGGTTTTATATATAATATTGATCATATAAGGTGTGAGTCTTATAGCTTAGCGGTTAAGCTCCCATGCCCCTACAGTTAAGATCAACAGTTCAAGTCTAGCTGGAAGCAAAAACTAAAAAGATTTTAGCCTCTGTAACCCAATAAGGAGCCAGTAATTGAATGCAAAGCCCTGTGGTTAAGTCCAAGTACAGTATATGACTGAAGTAGGAATTTCCGAAAAGAGACCAATTATAAAGTATAGGCACTATATATAACAAATGGCTATTACAGAAGGTTACAGTTATGAAAAAGATTGCACATGTAAGTCCTTTAGGCTAGGGCAGCACCAACATCCTTACATCTTCTAATTAGGCAGTATCAACATCTTCACATTCAACTTGTAGGATACTTGCTTGGAAGGATAATTAACAAATTGTGCAAATAAGTTCTAATTAGGACCCAAGAAAAAGGATTTGATTGGGAGAATAGTCTGGAAGTAACCAAGACTGAAATGATGAAAGAAGCAGTAAACATAAGGATGGGCTATGGAAAAAGATTAGCCTTATCAAGATTGAAAGCATCTCTGATACTATAGAATGTTCTGATATTAAAGATAGCAAAATGTATAGAGGAAGTAACCTGTTCTGTACATCTAAAGATACCAAGCCAAAGCTCTGATCACACTTATATGGAAGTTTATGATGATATAAGGATAAACATATCAACATGAATGCTATACCAATCAAGGTTGAGATACTCCAAATTGGAAATAATAGTAATATTACAATGGCAACAGCTAAAAGAGGTAACTCACAAAACAGGTTTGGACTATTATTATAAAAGAAAGTACTAAAGAGGCAGGTTAGTTGTACAATTTATTGAAAATAATGCTAAGATCAGAAGGGTGCAAACCAGTAGTGACAGCAGGGACCTGGCTTGAGATACATACTACTAATACCTGAATTGGAAAGTTAGCAGTAGCAGCAGGACTCTGGCTTAAGATATGAACTGTAAGGCATTGTTCTGGTAGACCAAAGATGGTAGCTCATAAGAAATGAACAACCCAGTAGACCAATTTGAAAGTTATTTAAATAAGTTGTAAGACATAAGAGGAATATGCAGGTTATATAATATAGATGAATGTGAAACAAAAACCCAGATTATGTGTAAGTAGAATACAAGATTAGCTCTGGTAGGTTTAGATCACAGATAAATTAGTCTGAGTCTCATTTCTTAATTAGATATATAGTAATAGATGATGTATAATGTAAAAAGTTGGACAAACTGTAACAATATGTTCGAATAAACAGACCTGAGACATGATCTCACCTTAACTCCAAAAAAAAAAAAAATAAATAAAATATCGATCATATAACTTCAAATAGATTATGCAATTTTATTGGTTTTATATTTAACATTAGTTACATATCAACCATTTTTCTAAATCTCAAATCCAAGTTGCTCTGTATTTAATAAAATATATCAGGTATATGTTATATGACTTTGCTACATTTTGATTGGCCAATAGACCAGAAATGCATAAAATTACTCTTTATTTAATTACAAATTAATATATAACATTTTGTATAATTATATTTTAATTTAAATATATTAAGTTGATATATTATGCTTAATAAAATGATCAATAACAATTAATCAATATATCAATATATATCAATAATTTTCAATCAATATATAGTAAA